AGAAAACATGAAATTATACCAAGGCACATGATATATCAAATTCTGAAAACCAGTGCTAAAGGGAAAATGTTATAACCAGACAGTGAAAAAAGACACATTCATAAGAGCAAAGATAAGCATGATGGCAAGTTATTCTTAGAAACAACTTGAGCCAACAATAAAGCAACAATTACACATTACTGAAAGAAAAAAATTGCCTATACACTGTGAAAATCTCTTTCAAAAATGTAAGTGAAATTAAGACCTTCCTTGAGATGCATAAAAGTAGGAAAAACTCATCAGCAGTTCTTTGGGAAGGAAAGAAAGAGAAAAGGAAGGAAAGGAACGAAAATGATACCAAATGGAAATGTGGATCCATATGAAAGATTGAACAGCTGTGGTAATGATAACTACACTGGTAAGATTTTTTTTCTTATTATTTAACTCTTTTTAAAAATTTTTATCTTTACTGTTGAAAGTATTACAGATGTCCCCTTTTCCCCCCATTGATCTCCTCCACCCACACCTGCTTCCCCACCCCAGGCCTTCATCACATTATGTCTGTGTCCACAGGTTATACATATATGCATATAAGTTATTTGGTTAAAAGACAACTGCCTATTTTAAATGGATAATACATCATGACCAAGGGGTGGTGGTGGGGGTTAATCCCAATAGAGCAAGGTTAATTTAACATTAAGAGTTAATCAAGCCAAAACCGGTTTGGCTCAGTGGATAGAGCGTCGGCCTGCGGACTGAAAGGTCCCAGGTTCGATTCCGGTCAAGGGCATGTACCTGGGTTGCAGGCACATCCCCAGTAGGAGATGTGCAGGAGGCAGCTGATCGATGTTTCTCTCTCATCGATGTTTCTAACTCTCTATCTCTCTCCCTTCCTCTCTGTAAAAAATCAATAAAATATATTTAAAAAAAAAAAAAGAGTTAATCAAGCCCTGGCTGGTTTGGCTCAATGGATAGAGCATCGGCCTGCGGACTGAAGGGTCCCAGGTACGATTCTGGTCAAGGGCACATGTCTGGGTTGCAGGTTCAATCCCTAGTAGGGGACATGCAGGAGGCAGCCAATCAATGATTCTCTTTCATCATTGATATTTCTATCTCTCTCTCCCTCTCCCTTCCTCTCTGAAATAAAATATATATATATACTTTTTTAAAAGAGTCAATCAATGTTTTATAAATATAATTCACCATATTAATAAGCTAAAATGAAAAATCCACATAATTATCCCAATAGATGCATAAAATGCATTTAATCCAATATTATTTCTGATTTTTAAAAAAAACCTCTGAGCAAACTAGTAATAGAAGGAAACTTTCTTAATTAGATAAAGAGCATCTATGAAAAACCTATCACTAGCATCATACATAACACGGAAAGACTGAATTCATACAGAAATGCAAATGATATAGAATAAACAACTTGGAAAAAGTAAAATTGAAGTATTACTACCACCTGATTTCAATGGTAATATAAAGCCACAGATATCAAGATAGTGTGGTATTGGTGTAAAGACAGACAAATAGATCAATGGAACAGCATAAGAGCCCAGAAATAGACCCGCACATGTATGGACAACTGGTTTTCGACAAAAGTGCAAAAGCAATTCAGAGGAGAAAGGATGATCTTCTCAATAAATGATGCTGAAATAACTGTATATCCACATGCATAAAAAGGGGGGGGGGACTTTGATCCATACATAATATCATATTCAAAAGTTAACTCAAAACTGACCATACACCTAAATGTAAACCTAAAATCTATAAAACTTCTAGAAGGAAACCTAGGAGAAAAATCTTTGTTCTTATGATGGGCAAAGATTTCTTAGCTATAAATCTAAGTGCATGATACATAAATGAAAAAATTAATAAACTAGACTTCATTAAAAATAAAAACTTCGAGACACAGCTGACTCTCATAGCCAGTTGGCCTGGAGGTCAAATCACCCCCAGTATTTCCGACAAAAATCAAGGCTTAACTACAACAAGACTGCGCACAAAGACCACAAGGGGGTGCACCAAGAAAGCATAAAAAATGCGGAGACAAAGAAACATGACAGAAATGGAGGATATAGAGCTAAAAACTGCAATTTTAAGGTCTTTGAATAATTTTCTAGAAACTGCCGATAAATGTAGTGAGATCCTCAAGAAATCTAATGAGACCCTTGATGTTGTGATAAAGAACCAACTAGAAATTAAGCATACACTGACTGAAATAAAGAATATTATACAGACACCCAACAGCAGACCAGAGGAGCGCAAGAATCAAGTCAAAGATTCGAAATGCGAAGAAGCAAAAAACACCCAACTGGAAAAGCAAAATGAAAAGAGAATACGAAAATAGTGTAAGGAGCCTCTGGGACAGCTTCAAGCGTACCAACATCAGAATTATAGGGGTGCCAGAAGATGAGAGAGAGCAAGATATTGAAAACCTATTTGAAGAAATAATGACAGAAAACTTCCCCCACCTGTTGAAAGAAATAGACTTAAAGGTCCAGGAAACGCAGAGAACCCCAAACAAAAGGAATCCAAAGAGGACCACACCAAGACACATCATAATTAAAATGTCAAGAGCAAAAGACAAAGAGAGAATCTTTTTTTTTTTTTTTAAATATATTTTATTGATTTTTTTACAGAGAGGAAGGGAGAGAGAGAGTTAGAAACATCGATGAGAGAGAAACATTGATCAGCTGCCTCCTGCACATCTCCTACTGGGGATGTGCCCGCAACCCAGGTACATGCCCTTGACCGGAATCGAACCTGGGACCTCTCAGTCCACAGGCCGACACTCTATCCACTGAGCCAAACCGGTTCCGGCATAAGAGAGAATCTTAAAAGCAGCAAGAGAAAGAAACTCAGTTACCTACAAGGGAGTACCCATACGACTGTCAGCTGATTTCTCAACAGAAACTTTGCAGGCCAGAAGGGAATGGCAAGAAATATTCAAAGTGATGAATACCAAGAACCTACAACCAAGATTACTTTATCCAGCAAAGCTATCATTCAGAACTGAAGGTCAGATAAAGAGCTTCACAGATAAGGAAAAGCTAAAGGAGTTCATCACCACCAAACCAGTATTATATGAAATGCTGAAAGGTATCCTTTAAGAAGAGAAAGAAGAGGAAAAGGGTAAAGATACAAATTATGAACAACAAACATGCATCTATCAACAAGTGAACCTAAGAATCAAGTAAACAAATAATCTGGTGATCATAATAGAATCAGGGACATAGAAAGGGAATGGACTGACTATTCTTGGGGGGGAAAGGGGTGTGGGAGATGCGGGAAGAGACTGGACAAAAATCGTGCACCTATGGATGAGGACAGTGGATGGGGAGTGAGGGCGGAGGGTGGGGCAGGAATTGGGAGGAGGGGAGTTATGGGGGTAAAAAAGAGGAACAAAAAAAAAAAAAGAAAAAAACTTCTGAAAAGACAAGCCATAGATTGGGAAAAGATAAGAACCATATTGATTTCACTCATATGTGGAATATAAAACTGAAAGCAGCAAATGAACAAACAAAAACTCAGACAAAGACAACAGTATGTTGATTAAAAGAGGAAGAGAGTGTAAAGGGCAAATAAAGGGGGTCAAATATACGGTTATGGAAGAAGACTGCACTTTGGGTAGTGGGCACACAAAGCAATATACAAATGATGTGTCATAGAAATGTGCGCTTGAAATTGATATACTCTTATTAACCATTGTCACTCCCAATAAATTTAATTTTAAAAATAAATAAAATTTGTTATTACCAGAATTTAAAAAAAAAAAATTCCTTTCTTCAAGTAGTTCACAATCTGATGTAAGAGATGGACAAGAAACGGACAGTCCCAGTGGCACCATGAGAGGCAGTATAAACCACATTTAAGAGCTCTGTTACTAGGACACCCAGCTCCAAATCCTGTGTGACCTTGGGCAAGTCACTTAACCTCTCTGAGTTCCCAGGTCCCTTTCTGTAAAACAAGGACAATAGCACTGTGTACCTCATAGATAGGTCTGGTGTAAGGTCTAAATGAGTTAACTGATGTAAAGTGTTTAAAATGTGCCTGGTATAGTGTCTTGATTGCTAGTTCTTGTCAATATTAGCATGAAAAATATGAAGGTCTGAGGACATGATTCAGGGGAGAAGCCAGACATAAAACTAACAACCTTTTTTACTACAGCGTAGTATTCCATCATGTAGATGTACCACAGTTTTCTAATCCACTCATCTGCTGATGGGCACTTAGGCTGTTTCCAAATCTTAGCTACGGTAAATTGTGCTGCTATGAACATAGGGGTGCATATATCCTTTCTGATTGGTGTTTCTGATTTCTTGGGATATATTCCTAGAAGTGGGATCACTGGGTCAAATGGGAGTTCCATTTTTAGTTTTTTGAGGAAACTCCATACTGTCTTCCATAGTGGCTGCACCAGTCTGCATTCCCACCAGCAGTGCACGAGGGTTCCTTTTTCTCTGCATTCTCGCCAGCACATGTCATTTGTTGATAGCCATTCTGACAGGTGTGAGATGGTACCTCATTGTCATTTTGATTTCCATCTCTCAGATGATTAGTGACTTTGAGCATGTTTTCATGTGTCTCTTGGCCTTCCTTACTAGTATGTCCTCTATTGAAAAAGAAGGAATTCTTATCATTTGCAACAGCATGGATGGAACTGGAGAGCATTATGCTAAGCGAAATAAGCCAGTGGAAGAAAGATAAATACCACATGATCTCACTCATTTGTGGAATATAATGAGCAACATAAACTGATGAACAAAAACAGATCCAGAAACAGAGAAGCATTGATCAGACTGTCAAACCTCAGAGGGAAGGTAGAGGAGGGCGGGGGTAAGGGGAAGAGATCAACCAAAGGACTTGTATGCATGCATATAAGCCTAACCAATGGACACAGACACCAGAGGATGAGGGCATGAGTGTGGGAGGGTGGGGAGGCAACGGGGGGATAAGGGCACATATGTAATACCTTAATCAATAAAGAAAATAAAATGGAAAGAAAAAAAAACCTTTGAGAGCTGCAGCTTGCCGTCTGTAACAAGAACAGTTCCAAACAGAGGATCCGAAGCCCCGTCTAGCGTGAGAGCTGTGGTCTGGAGGTCTCTCTTCTATTTGTAACCGTCACTGGAAACCTGTGATTCTGCACATAAACTGCTCTCTTGGCCAGAGGCACTACCAACCCACAGTCCCACCAGCTAGGGACTTTCCGAGGGCTGAGGGCCACGCTTTCGGACACAAAGTGCTGTTGACCAATGCTCAGGTTAGGAAAGGACACTGGATGACACATGAAGAATGCTGGCACTCCGAACAAGGCTGGTCACTCCCTGAACAATGAGTCCTAGCAAGACAGGAGAGAACAGGCCAGCAGGCAGCTCAGCATTGTGCAATGCAGACCATACCCTCCTCTCAGCTACCAATCAGAAGGTAGTCCTGGCCACGTGGGTCACCCTCATTGTACTTAGCTGGAGAGTAAGGTCTCCAGCTCAGGACCTTCCAGCACCCATGTGCTGTAAAGGTGACTGGCTAAGAGAAGGAAGAAATAACCAAGCAAATTCAAAGGGTCCCCAGGGTATGCCTTCTCTTGTCTTCCTCTCAGCCACTCCTTGCCTTCTTCAGTCTCCTGAACTCCAATTAAGAAGGAAGGGGGAGGGATCAAGCCCTTGAACAAACTGGAGGCTAATTTCAATCCAAAACACTGGGTGTGACTTGGCAGCAGCCCTCAGCAACTTCCAGCTAAGCCAGCCCATGCTACTGGTGCTGAAAATACCCAAGCATCTTATGAAGCAATGCAGTTAAATTTAGCTCTGGCATTCCCAAGGCTGGGCTGGGTGCTAGAAGCAGCAGAGTAGACCCACAGATATACCCATCGCAGGTGTTAAGAGCTGCCAGCAATAAAGAGCAACCAGTGTGATGAAGATGACAACACCTGGAGGGAAGGAGAGAGAGGGAAGGGATTTGGAGGGGGGTGAGGTTCATGGCCCAACGGCAGGTCTCATCTCCCAATAGCATTACCAGGACCCATCAGCCCGGTGCCTCCATCCCCAGGGAGACCAGGCAGATAACATGGATGAGTAAAGAATAAAGATGGAAAGAAAAGGGAATGGTGGGGACTGGGATGAACTGCAGGGCAAACGTCCCATCTAGAACTACTGAGATTTATATTTTTTTAATAACATCTTGTTAGCCAAATAAAATCCTGCATTATGTCTGCAGACTTTCAGTGTAACTGACACCAGGCATAGCTGTAAGGAGTAGGCAACCCCATGGCTACTATTTCACCATCAGACACTCATTCTTTGTTCCTTTAGTCACTTGCTAAAATGCAAGCAGGGTTGTTTTGTGCAGGGCAGCCCAGGCTGTAGGGTCTGGCAGTGAATTAAACAGCTACCATGTCAAACAAACAGGCAAAACCAAGACCACTCAGAAGCACCCCCAGCATGCAACATCCACTGTGCTCGCCATGTTAGACCAGTCTCAGGTTCAGGAGTTTAAAGAGGTCAGAACAGACATGGTTCACTGACAAGGAAGATTTGCACGATAGCTTGCTTCTCGAGGGAAGAATCCAGCTGGTGCTCAGCTCGATGCCATGATGAATGCAGCTCCAGGGGCCCATAAATCCCACCACGTTCCTCACGATGCTTGGTGAGAAGTTACATGGCACAGGCCAGGAAAAGGTCATCAGAAATGCTTTTGCTTGCTTTGATGAAGAAGCAACTGGCACCATTTGGGAAGATGACCTGAGAGAGCTGCTGACAATAATGGGAGATTGGCTTACAGACGAGGAAGCTGTACAGAGAAGCGCCTATTGACAAAGTTACATTGAGTTCGCGCGAATCCTTAAACAGGGAGCTAAAGAGAAAGATGACTGAAAGAACTTTAGCTAAAACCTTCCAATTCCTTAGTCTTACTCTGTTTTATTTCCCCAACATTTCCCCCATCCTCACACACCTGCTGCATACAACTTAATTTCACAGCTTTGCCTCTTTATTTAATGTATTTATGCTAGATCTTTCTGCCCTTAGCACTTGTATAATCAGACTGTAGATGAGGTTGTATATTGTGTTGAAAAAGAATTTACAAATAAAAACCTACCAATTGAACCCTCCCACCCCAAAAACACACACACCATGGGCTTTAAGACTTCTTAGCTAACTCAGTTATTCTTACTGATTCCTGTGTTTAAGAAGGAAGAAAAAAAGAAATAATTGCCTGCATGAATAAATTAATTGGTAAATTAGCGTTTATTAATATGTTCAGGATCAATTAAATGTTATTGAGTAAAGTAGCAGTTGTTGAATATAAAGAACGCTTGCGTTTGAGTCAGGCAGGCTTGAGTAGACTGGCTCTGCTATCCACTAGGAAATTACCTCCATTACTCTCTGGTAGAATGGAAATAATAGGTCTACCTCAGGTTGCTATAAAGATTAAATGAAATAACCCAGGACAATGTTTGATGATAATTCATGTTCAATAAATGACATATGAACTTTAATCATCTGAGAGCCAGGCTGTATAGGACAGGGGCTAAGAGTGAGAAGTAGAGTGGTGAGCCAACACTTCACCAAGGCAGAGCCTTCCTGGAATCTGGGTCAGGAGCGTAGAAGCCACGTGGGGCGACACCGCCCCTCTGTGTCCATTTGCTGCACTGCAGTCACACTTAGATTGAGTTGAACCTCACCTTTCTCTCCTTTGCCACTTGAGATGGAGTATAAGGTCCTGCAGACCTACTTTACTATTGCTTCTACTCCATGTGAGCCCCTCATGCAGTCTATGCTGAGACGGGTAGTTGTTGAAAGTAATTATCTGAGACTGTAACAGCCAGCTTGTCCAATCACCCAAGCACCCTGCCAGCACCGTGCTTGGATTTGTCTAGAGGGCCTCTCTGATCCAGCGCTAATGCAGGTGTACTGGAATCCCTTGGAGAGATTTAAAAATACTAGCTATCCATTATCCATTGGTATATTACACCCTTCTGCCGAACTGGAATCTCTGAGGGTGGGCTGGATAACACATATAAAAAAACTCCTCATCAAGGGATCTCAAATTCAGCCAACTTTGAAAACACATTACTTTAACCCCTTATTGTGCTGCCCTGCTCACCTCTTGGGTTTAGTTGTCTTTGCAAGTAACAAAGTAAAAAAAAATATAGTGCTCTCTGCACTAGAAATTAGTATTTGCATGGAGCTAGAAAGCAGGGAATAAGGAGTCAAGTGAGAGTGGTGAGAGGGGTAAGAGAGAAAAAGAAAAAGAAGACTCACACCAAGAAGAATATAGAGAGAAAGGCATACAGAGAGGAAGAAAAACAGGCACACATAGAGAGAAAGGTGTGGGGAAAGAGGGTAGGGAAAGAAGAGTGTGATAAAAAGAGTGAGGATGGAGAAAAGAAGGCATTCTCATAACCATGACATTTTGGTGTGGCAAGAGATAAATGGACAAGTCCTAGATTAAGAAAAAAATTTCCATCTAGGGTTTACCTGCCATATGTAAAATCTCTTACATATTGACAAGGATAGGAATACCACAATAGAGTAATGAGCAAAAATATGAAGAGAAAATCCAAATAGCCAACACAGGGAAGCTGGGCGAGTTTACTAGTGAGTGGAAAATGTAGATTATTATTTTATTCCTATGAGATTGGCAGAAATCTGAAAGTCACTTACTTATTGCTGGCTAGGTTGTAGGGAAAATTATTTATTTAAATCTTGATGGTAAAAAATGTAAATTGTCACAGAACTTTGAAAAGAAAAAACAGCCGAAACCGGTTTGGCTCAGTGGATAGAGCGTCGGCCTGCGGACTGAAAGGTCCCAGGTTCGATTCCGGTCAAGGGCATATACCTGGGTTGCGGGCATATCCCCAGTAGGAGATGTGCAGGAGGCAGCTGATCGATGTTTCTCTCTCATCGATGTTTCTAACTCTCTATCTCTCACCCTTCCTCTCTGTAAAAAATCAATAAAATATATTTTTTTTAAAATAAATAAATAAATAAATAACAAAGCTAACAAAATGTACCACTCTTTTTTTTTTCTTTTTTCTCTTAGAGAGAGAGAATGGAAGGGAGGGGAAGAGACAGAGAGAGAGAGAAACATCAGTGTGAGAGAGACGCATCAACTGGTTGCCTCTGGCATGGCTCTGACCAAGTCCGGGGTGGAACCTGCCACCGAGGTTCGTGCCCTTGACCAGAATCGAATCTGGGACCTTTCAGTCCAACACTCTATCCACTCAGCCAAACCAGCAAGGGCCAAATGTTACACTCTTTATTCAATCTACCTGATCCATTTCTGGGACTTGATGCCATATCCTAGAGATAAATATACCAGTACATAACAGTATATGTTCAAGAATGGTAACTGCAGCATTATTTATGGTGACAAAAAACTAGTAACAAAGGAAAAGTTATTAATAGGGTATCGTTGAATGAATGTTGATACATCTGGCTCACGAAATAGGATTTTATACAGCAATTAAGAAGCATGAATAAAAGCTATGTCACTATTGGAATTTAAGGGATTAGGTATGTTATATAAAAGCAATGATAACAATTATAATGCAAAAAATTCTCTACAGCAATACCTAGAGTACTGGGACTTCCATGACTAGGGGGAGAGAGAAGTTCAGGAAAGAGGCAGATAAGAATACTAAAGGGATGTGGTTCCTGATGACTGTATTCAGGACTTCATTAGGGAGAATCTCACTCAAGGACCTGCTCATTGGCCCACAGGCACCCCCAACACCACAAGTGCTAAACCCACCCACCTACCCTCACCTCTGCAGTTGGCTCCTTGTGCATGCTCCCAAATACGGCAGCAAGAATGAGTCCAATGAACACAGTGCTATCAGGAAAACAGACCAGAGTCTATTGGCAAGGGAAAAGCCACAAACTTGAGCTGTAGCACCACCTTATAGAAAACAAAAGATTTCCAGCAGCCAACCTGATTGAGTTGTAAGAACAAGAAAAGATATACAAGTTAAAGAATTCGGTTGCAAGAGGGAGCAAGAAGTGTGGAGCAGGTGTATCCATACAGGGTTGAAAACAACAAATAAAACAGGACTGAAGCACATATATCTCACCTGAAGCTAATTAGTAAAGATTTGAGGAGGTATTTGCTATTTCAAATGCAAAAGCAGCAACACAAAACTACATGGAGAATCAAGATGACAATAATCTTCCAATAAACTCAAAGGTACAGAATTTTGTGATCTGGCTGAAAAAGAATTGAAAATAGTTGTTTTGAGAAACAAGTTGCCTTATAAGAAAACAGAAAGACAATTCAACAAAATGAGAAAAACAATACATGAACAAAGTGAGAAATTTAACAAAGAGATGGGGATAATAAAAAGAACCAAAAGAACCAAATAGAAACTCTGGAGCTGAAGAATTCAATGAATAAAAAGAAAAAATAATAAAATAAAGTAGAAAAAACAAAATTTATAGCACAGCAGATCAAGTGGAAGACAGAATAAGTAAACTACTTGATAGGAACTTTGAAATAACCCAATCAAAAGAGAACAAAGAAAAAAAATTAAGAAGAACCCCAAAGCCTACATGACGTAAAGGACTCCACCAAACATACAAATATTAGAATAACT